GGAAATGGGGAGGGTGGTACCCATGGGGAATGGGCGATGAGCATCTTAAATTATAGGGGAATGGGGATGGGGAATTAATATCCACCCCATTGCCCCCCATTGCCATTCCTAGGTCGAATGGCTCGAATGGTGGGAGCTTCTATCTACACGTACCAAATTCCTTCGATACACATATTTAATGATATTTTTTTATATTATAATTTTATTTCTAAGTGTAATTACTATTTTAGACATCTACCCAATTCAAAACGTCTCAATGCATACATCCATCTAGACTTCACGTTAAAGTTTCAAGTTCAGCTCCTTTCATTGAGTTAGAAGTGAAAGCACTGATTCACTCATTCGTATATTCTTCCAAGTTCGTAGCTTCTTCCATTAAGCTCCAAGTTCATAGCTTATCAATGCACTCATTCATCATACATTAAGCTAGAAGGGAAAGCATCAACCTTCCTCATTTATCATTGTTATGGAGGATTTGTCTTCTGAAAATCAGCAAATAAATGTTTATGAGAAACATAGCGAAGGAAATGTGAGTTTCTCTTTTTTTTTTTTTCCAGCGTCGTTCGGATAACCAGAGTCGAATTATATTATTTTGTTCGGAAATCTACTACCAAAATAAGTATTTAATTTCGGAAGTTGCTGTTCGAAATAAGTTAACTTTTACAACATTCAACTTCCAAAATTTTAAAATTAATTAGGACAACTACTTTCGAAAATTAGCATTTTGTTCAACATTGTACTTCCGAATGAAGTAAATTTTTTTTTTCCCATTTTATATTCCAAATTTGCAAACTGCATACCAAATTTACAGTTTCGAATTGCAAATTAATCTTTATAATGCCATTAAAAATTTGTAATACTATACAAAACATGTAGGAATATGTGCCAACTCAAGGAAGTCAGGTTTGTGCGGATTTTGTGTTGGATTACACTACTTAATTCACAATTGAATAGGTTCACTCTACGAAATTATAATGATTACGTTTCGAATTGCTCAACAAATGTAAATGTTTAGTAATATTTATTTGACTTTGTAGGTATTCAAAAGTAAGGATGAATTGCTCAACTGGGTACGTGAAGTTGGAAAGAGAAATGGTTTGGTCATTGTAATCAAAACATCAGACTATGGTGGAAGGAAAAAAAGACCCAGGAAGTATCTTGCTTGTGAGAGAAGTGGCCAATATAGAGCGACAAAGAAGTTAAAACATGATGACAACAATATATCAAGAATAATCGGTATGAAGAAGTGTGGTTGTCCTTTTGATATGAGGGCTCACAGGTTTACCACACATGATGAATGGACATTGACCGTAGTATGCGGATTGCATAACCATCCACCTGCGGAGCACCTTGAGGGACATTCATATGCGGAGAGGCTATCAAAGGATGAGAAAACATTGTTAATGGATATGTCAAAGAGCATGGTTCGGCCAAAAGAAATCCTAGTAACCTTGAAACATCGAGATGCCCTCAATGTAAGCACACTTAAAACCATTTACATTGTACGCCATCGAAAAAAGGTGGTACGGAGAGCTGGAAGATCACAGATGCAACACTTATTGGGTGAATTGGCCAAGTATAATTACATTGAGCGCCATCGATCTGAAGAGTCCATGATGACTGTGACAGACTTGTTTTTGGCACATCTTACCAGTTTAGACTTATCACGGTCTTTCCCACGTATATTAATTATGGCTTGCACATATAAAACCAACAGATATCGTCTTCCTCTTCTTGAAATTGTGGGAGTGACATCAACTGAAATGACTTTCTCTATAGTTTTCGCATACTTACAATATGAGAGGGCCGATAACTATGCGTGGGTGTTAGCTACATTGCGTGATGTCATGGATGGTTTTGTTGTGCCAACAATTATTGTTACTGACAGAGAGCTAGCCTTGATGAATGCCATACAGAAGATATTCTCGAGTGGCAGACATTTATTATGTCGTTGGTATATCAATAAGACTGTATTGACCAAATGCAAGAAAATGTTTGAGACACAACAGAAATGGGAGAAGTTCAACCATGATTGGAACTCTTTAATGTATTCATCTTCTGAAATTCAATACGATGAGCGTCTTAAATCATTACTTAAGGAATTCAGTAGTTATCCTGATGCAGTCAAATACGTCATGGATACTTGGTTGGTTCCTTACAAGGAGAAATTTGTAGCGGCATGGACAGACACGTGTATGCATTGTGGCAATGTCACAACGAACCGGTATGATTACTTTTGTTCAATGTGTTATTAATAAGTGCCATGTACTTGATTTTAATTTGACTTACATTGAATTGAACAGGGTTGAGAGTGCACATGCAAAACTTAAAAGACAATTGGGTTCATGTCAAGTCTCATTTCAGTCATTATTTGAGAAAATACACAGTCTGCTTGAGTTGCAACACATTGATATCAAGGCTTCATTTGAGAAAAGTCTAACTGTTGTGCAACATCAATTTAAACCTTCTCAGTTCAGGGAGCTACAGGGTAATGTGTCTATCTTTGCATTAGAGTATTTGCTTGTAGAGAGTAAGAGAGCCAATTCCATTAGTATTGATGTTGAAGCTTGTGGATGCGTTCTTCGCCACACTCATGGTTTACCTTGTGCCCATGAGATTATTGACTACATCAGACAAGATCGTCCTATACCACTTGCTACCATACACTCACAGTGGAGGCAACTTCATATCTCCATATGCAAGAAAGAAGAGGAAGCGAAGGTGAGTTGTCATGCAGAAGTAGAGTTGTTTGTGAACAAGTTTACTGAAAGTGATAGAACCATGCGGTTAGAGCTTTTGAAGAAGTTGAAAGAGATTGTATATCCAAGAAGCACTTTTCTTGTTGAGCCGGAGGTGAAGCCCAAAACACGTCCTCGGGATCATAAGAAGATCAATGTTTCTACCCGTCGTGACCCGTGTTCATTTGAGTTGGTGCAATCTGGACATGATTTCGTCTCACCTGGGGACACTCAAATCACTACATTAGCTTCTACTCTGGAAACCAAGAAGAAGCGACCTGTTAAGGGAAAGGAGAGGTGAATACGAAAGGGAAGGTATACATTACTAGAACAGTGAAACCTGGTGCATATGTTGATGCTTTCCCTTCTAGGTTGAAACCATACATTAAGTTTGTTAAGGATATAACTGCAGATAGGAATTGTGGTTTCAGGGCTATAGCTGCTTTAATTGGTCATACAGAAGATGATTGGGCTCAGGTTAGGCGTGACTGTTGGGTGAGCTGCACACACACAAAGAGGAATACATTACACTTTATGGGCCCTACAAAAGGTTTGAAGAATTGACAAGAATATTGTCATACTTTGAAAACAGTCTTGGATACTCACATTGGATGACTATGCCAGACATGGGGCATCTTGTTGCATCGTGCTACAATCTTGTGTTATACCACTTGTCATTACAGCAATGTCTCACCTTTTTACCTCTTAGAACAGTGCCAGTACCTCAACTTGATAGACGTGAGATTGCCATTGGATTTGTCAACGGAAATCATTTCGTCCAGGTATAACAGAAACTTATCAATTTGTGCATGTACAAGAAGTTATGAGGTATGACCACTAACTCAATTGACATTTGGTGCAGGTTTTGTTGCAGCCAGGCCATCCAGTTCCTCATATAGCCACTAATTGGCAAAAATACCATCACCCTTGCGCTGTCGACTGGGATGATACATATGTGCGCCACATTCAACATTTCAAGGACATTGTTCATGATAATGTAGCTACTCAAGAGACATTTGATGTTGTTGATGTCGCATGACACATGTATGCATTTGACAATGTTAGAATTATGGAAGAAATTAATGGATGTGTTTTTGATGTTGATGTGTTCTGTGGCATGGATTGAATGTTATCGACCATTGTTACCATTCCATTGTAATAAGAAAATATCATTTACAAAATCAACTACCATTGTTACCATTCCATTCTAATAATAAAATGTCATTTTCAATGGTATCAACCATTATTGCCATTCCATTCTAATAAGAAAATATTAACCACTGTTACCATTACAACAATATCATCTTACAAAAAACACCACAAAAAATTCATCAACTAACAAATAACATGTCACGAATCAGCTGTATGCCTACGCCTAGGCCTATGACTGTATGTCAATGTTGGAGATGAAAAGCGACCTCCAGTATAACTAGGTCCAGTAGAACTAGGTCCAGCTTCGTCAATGTGCTGACCTTCAAGGACATGCGTCATAATCTCGATAGCTTGGTAAAGTCGATGAGGATGTCGAATCCCCTCCTCATAACCAGTCTCAATAATAGGATGTGAAATTTGCAGTGCATGTGCAATACGCTGCATTTGAAAAGAATATCATATGTTAGGGAACATATCAGAAAATAAAAAGTAAGTTACAAATGCAATAAAGAGGATAATATATTACATCGGCATGTTGGCTAAGATCTTGATGGTCATGGACACGCGGTTCATCAGTGTGCTCAACATATAGGTGCGTGAGATTCTTATACCAATCCATGTAACCCGGTACACATTCCCAAGGCTGACGAACTAGTGTGCTCCTCCGCTACTCAGATAACACGTGGTTATCCCAAGCCTCCCAGATCCCATCCAAGTATCTATACATGACTGTATATCGTGCAGATATGTTGCCTCGAGCACCACGACTGGGAGCTAACGGTGCATCTGGGATGGTTTGAACCCTGCCAAACTGCCTAAGAACTCTATCTGGATGATAGGGTTCGACCACGTCTAAGCACTTTAAGCATCCATGGTAGAACGTAACCGGGTTACATAGATGCCGGTCTCTGCAACTGTGGTATGGATCCCAAATAACCTGTAAATGTAAAGTGTTTTTGAATTAAAGTATATAAAGGGTAAGATAAATGGAAAGTGTTAAAATTATCTGAGGACGAGTAAACTTACATCAGTCGCTACCAAACTGTCAAGCTCCGCTCGAAAAGATTTCAAATGATCAATGGAGGAACCCGCCTCTCTCCTAGATGCCCAATGGTACATGTGTGGCATGTTTTCATTGTAGCCCATGTTTTGGTGAGGTCAGAATGCTTGGAAGTGCTTATAAATCCACGCCTCCAAAAGAGTCATGTAACCACCCATCTGCTTAACACTGGACCGGCTAGCATACCCTAACTGTCTGTATAAAAATGCTAATGCAGTAGCACCCCAGGCGTAAGTATGAATGGATCCCAAATCCATCAATAAGCCAAGGTAAACAACAGGAACCTTGCCGCCACTCTTGTCACTGAAGAACGTACATCCCAACAGAAACAACAAATAAGCTCTAGCAGTGCACTGTATAGCCTCATCTGGGTTTGAATCTGTGACACCAGCAAACTGACTTCGCAACCACTCAAGCCTGACTGAATTTCCACTAGAAGTAGAAACATCTTCATGTGCTACACATTCAGTAATCCCCAAGCCATAAACCAGTAGTATAACTCCATGATGATCTGTCACATCTGGTAAGCTGACTGATTTGCCTACAATGGGAAGGCCAAGAATAGTGCCAACATCATCCAGGGTCAAGGTCATCTCACCAACTGTCATGTGAAATGTGTTCATCTCGGGTTGCCATCTCTTAACAAAACTGGAGATTAGAAACTTGTTGACGAACCGATAAATGCAACGAGCTAACTGTGACAGCCCAGACTGCTCAATAATGGCTTTGAATCTGGTGTTGTTGTCTACTGACCACTATGGCCATGCAAGGATCTTCAAAGAGTGATTATGACACTTTAGGGGCCCTTGTTCTTATAACACAAATAATATCTCATTAGAAACTACCATACAACACACATAGAAAAGAAAAAAAAAATTCATATAGAAATGAATTTCACTTATACTCAGAAATGTTTACCTCCCCGTGCCAAACAGCTGCAGCGACATGACTATTGAAACTCCGCAGTATTGATGGATCAGTCGGTCCACTTGGAAAAGCACGAGTAAGGTCCTCTTCCTGGACAGTAGGAGAATCGGGTAAAGAGGCATCCTCCACAGCAATGTCAGGCATATCATAACCTTGAACTCGTCTTTGGCTTCGGCTCCGGCTTTGACTGGCACTGGGGATATCATATTCTACCAAAACTGGATCACGACCCTGACCATGACCTTGACATCGTCCTCGCCCACGCCCTCGTCCCCGTTCATGGTCAATATCCAATTCATGACGTCGTCTATTTGAAGCAGTAGGTGGGACACGTTGTTGACATTCAGAATTCATATTATCAGCAAAAAATAATATGTTTAATAACTATACAATTGAAACAAGGGAGCTTATATTTGCACACACCCATTCCCCTCTTTACACATCTTTTCCAATAAATAATTGGTTCGGAAGTAGAATTCCGAAAATAAATCCGATTTTTTATTTTTATTTTTTCGACATTCAACTTCCGAATGTGTTTATTAATGTCTATAATAGTAATTTCACTTGAAAATAAAATTATAATAAAAATAATTTTTATTAAGTGTGTATAAAGAGGGGAATGGGGATGTGGAAATAGAAGCTCCCTTGAAACAAGAATATACAAAAGAATGGGGGAAAGAAAAAAAAAAAAGAAGAAGAAGAAAACTGTTCGGAAGTTGAAAACCAAAACTACATATTCTGTTCAAAAGTTGAAAACCGAAACACAAACTTAATTTCGGAAGTTGAGTGTTGTCCAAATTCAAAATTTTAGGAAGTTAACTGTCGAAACAATAAAATTTTTTCGAAAATCTACTGTTGAAATTAATGATTATTTTCGGATTTCTACGTCCGAACAAATTGTTTACTTTCGGAAAACCAGTTCCGAACAACTTGTTTGTTTTGAAAATGGTTTAATACAAAACTCTACATTACAAATTCAAATAGGAATGAGGATTGAAAAGTAAACTAACCTAACTACGAATGAGGATTGAAAATGTGCTGGAATTCAATGCTTTTTTGGAGATGAAAATGTACTGGAATTCAATGCTTCTTCATGGATGCAACTTTGGGGATGAAAGTTGTGTGAAGCAGGGAGCTATGGGGAGAGATGGGTAATGTGTGAAAAAGGGTGATGTGAGAGATGCAACGCAGCTTCAATGGGTGTATTTGCACCGTTGGGATATCAATGTGAGAGATGCAGCTTCAATGAGTGTATTTGCACCGTTAGGAGAGCTGGGTTTGAGGGTCAGGGGATGTGTGTGTGTGTGTAAGGGTAGATGTGGAATGAAATGTGTGTGTAGTGAGTAAAATAATTAGGAATTAATTTTTTTGGTGTGTGTAGTGAGAAGGATGTGCAAAAAGGGGATTTGGTATGTGCAAATAGAAGCTCCCACATAAGTCCTATTGCAAAAGTCTTTTCCCAATTTTGCCCTTGTTTTATCATTTGCCTTAAATAGTGTTCTCTCTCTCTCTCTCAACTATTTCTGAAGTTTCACACCACCATCACATACCGCCACCTCCACTACACCTACCACCACCATCCACTGCTACCATCACCATCATCCATTGTTGATCGCCACTACCATCGCTTACCAACCACCTTCACTATGGTTGATCTACATTCTTACTATCACTGATCTACACTTTATCGTCGCCAATCTACCGCCACCGTCATCGATCTACACATTGTCTTCTCCGACTACACTTTATATCTCCAATCTACACTTTATCTTCTTCGATCTACACTCCACCAATGCCAATTTATACTCTATCATCAGAGATCCTTTGGGAAAACTTCGACAATCACGCAGGAATTAAAAATTCCTTGTTAGAGATATTTTTGCGTTTTAAATTGGTTTTGTTTGGGTTTGGTTCTTAGCAATTTTTTTTTCTTTTTTTGTTTTTTTTGGTTTTTTGGATTTGTAAGATAGTGATAATAATAATGAAAGATATAAAAATTCTTTAGATCACACCTCTCTTTATTATTCTCTCTGTCAATTACTTGTAAACTAATGTTTGGAGAATTTTGTGAGAAAAGTATTTTCTATATGTAAGTCTGTCAATGTGTTTTTTTGAATGAATAAGCAAGAAAGTGTGCATGTATGTAAGTGTGAGTGTGACAATGAAAGAGAGTAAGTGATTAACTGGTTTGATAAATATCAATACAGTGATAAATTTGGATAAATCTATTATAGTGATAAATTCATCAATCTTACTCCTTCGTGGGTTTCAGAGAGCTGTGATAGACTGAGAGCAGTAAGATCTTCTTGTGAGTTTAACCCAATTTGCTATCTTTTAGAGATATTTGATTACTGACTTGAGCGTCGAAGTACCCTTGGGTGAACAAACCACCTCCAGATTCCTATCTTTTCTATGACAGGTTGTTCAGACTTAATCTATTCTGCCAGTGCTTTCCAGCTGAGTTCCCCGTTTGGTTGTGTGATCAGAAATCAACACCCATAGTTTGGTGCCGTCTGTAGGAACGTAAGGAGAATAGATGGCCAACGACAGATAGAAAGAAAAGATCGGGGACGACATCCTATGTGGGAGTGGTAAACATGCTGATCTTAACATCGAGGAAGAAAATCATAATGAAGGAGCACAAGATCAGAATCCCAGGGATAAGGACATCGGCAAGGACGGAGATGCCTGGAAGAAATCAGGCTGAGATGAGTATTACAAGGAAGCGACCTCCAGGTATGGAAAAATAGATGCTTAAGGAGGGATGGCGAGATGAAGGAAATGGCAACAAGTTGGCAGATCTACAATCGGTTGTCAACTTCATAATACAAAACAACATCATGCAACCACCGTTTCTGTTGCAGGACACGCCGATGCCAGGAACCAAGACTGATGCCCAGAAAGGGGGGCAGAAAATAATCCCGGCAGAAAACAATCCCAGCAGTCTCATAGCATGACAGGGAAAAGGAACCCTCACATCGACCTTCACAGGATGTCGGGTGAGGAGAGTCAGTCAAAGGTGACTCGTAGAGGACACCTCGTACCAAGGGGACGTATGTCAAAGAGCCCCGGAATGTCCAAGGGAAGGGCATGTGTTTTGACACGGTGAATGAAGAGAAGTCTAAGAGGACACATAACGACACTGGGAGTAGCGCACCAAAAAGATTGAAATCTGTTGACAGCCGAGCTCCTGGTCGGACTAAGAAGGATTTGAGGGACTACCTCCAGAGGAAACAACAGAATGCCGAAGTCACATCCCCTGTTAAGCTAAAAATGCCATTCTCCATATAGTTGGATAGATTTGAGGCCCCAAAAAGGTTCCACATGCCGAGGTTCCAAATTTATGACAGTAAATCCGATCCGAACTTTCACGTTGACTTATATCTAAATTCAATGGTTTTGTATACCGGGAACGAACCGTTGCTGTGCAAGGTATTCCCCTCATCCTTTGGGGAAATTGCATCGGATTGGTTTCACAAGTTGCCGAAAGGAACTGTGAAGAGTTGGGAATGTCTGGCCGAGATGTTTGTGGCCAGGTTCGTTACAAACAAGTTGCAACCACTAAGGGTAGATTCCCTGATGGCTTTGAAAATTGGCGAGGGTGAAGGCCTCAGGGCTTATGCCAAGAGGTATTATGAGGTATTCAATCGAATGTTAGGATGTAACTAGGAATTGATGGTTGTGTCTTTTAAGAACGGCTTGGAAGATGAATGCCTGCTTCGAAAGTCACTGGAAAAAATTCTACCAAAGAGTATGGAGGAGCTCATGGAACGGATCAAGAAATATGCCAGAGCAGAAGATGACACATCGGAAACAAAGGTACCAAAATAGGAGAAGAGGAACGGCTCGTCAAAGCGAGGCCGAGGTAATACTGGTTTTAACAGGTAGGAAACAGGGTTGAGGGTTGCACAGGCAATCACCACTGTGTTCTGTATCCCAATTACAAAGTTCTAGAAAGGATTAGGAACCAACCATATTATAAGATGCCAGAAAAGGTCCCTGGCGAGTTCATGGGAAGGAGCCTTGGGAAGCACTGTGCCTACCACAATGAGGATAGGCACCCGACTCAGGAGTGTAGAGCCTTGAAAACACACTTGGAAGACCTGGTCAGATAGGGTCACTTAAGGGACCTAGTGGATGAGGCCAGAACGAGGAAAAAGCATGCAAGGCTTCCCTCGGCACCGGCGGCACCACTACTGCAATGACCATAGCAAGCAGAACCTCGGGTGATCAATGTAATTCACTCGATAGTTAATGAGAATGATATGCGAGGAGAGACACAAAAGGTGAGACACATACAACATGTGTATCAGGTCCAGCAAAAGAGGCCTAGGACAAACGAGTACCAGGGACCGATGGTGTCTTTTATTGAGGCAGACCTAGACATGGTACAACATCCACACAACGATACTCTGGTGGTAACCCTCAAGGTTGGAGAATACCAGGTAAGGCGCATTCTGATCAACCAAGGCAACTCTTGTGACATCATGTATGTCAGATTTTACAAGGAGCTTGGCCTTTACCGAGATGATTTGGAGCAGTCCAACAGCCCAATGGGCAGGTTCAATGGAACGCCGACATAGCCCCTAGGAGCAATAAATTTGGAGGTGCAGGTAGGCACCAAGAAGGTAAGCACAAAGTTTGCAGTAATTGACACCTCCTTCCCTTACAATGTTATCTTGGGAAGGCTATGGTTGCACGCAATGAGGGATGTTCCCTCAACACTGCACAAGCTATTGCGATTTCCAACTGAATAGGGGATTCAGGAAGTCAGAAGGGATCAAGTGAAGGCAATGAATTGCTCCATGGCAACAATGAAATCTAACTGCAATGTATGAGAGGCACAAAAAGTGGAAATTGATGACGAGGACATAGAAGTCCTAGGTGATGTTGGCAAAGAACCGGCCAAGAAGAATGAGGAAGCCTTGAAGAAAATTCTGGTCCAAGAAGGGGATTGTAGCTCGACTTTTTCGCGCCCCCTTTCGAAAGAAGAAATAAGCCCTACAGTATCAGACTCCCACGGTTCTGAATCTGATCTCACAAGTGCAATGTGAAATAGATAAACACCAAAGAGTCCTAATCCGACAAATCTTTTGGAAAATCAATTTTGAATCAAATTGTCAAAAATGGACTGCTTTGCCAGATACAAAGTCGCCATCTAAATATTTTGGGAAATTTAGAAAACCTATGACTCGTGCCAAAGGCCAAGTGTTCGTTATTACCAAGATTGTCTTGGGTCAAGAACTTAGGTACGAGAGAGGAAGGTCGTAAATGAATTTGAGCACCTAAGCCTGTTCGATCAAAGATCGGCCTCTTCTAATTATGATATGAATCTTATCTACATTATATGCTCA